AAAATTGAATAATGCAGTAAGGGTCCCAGTTAGACCTAACCCAAGTTCAAAATATGGAATCCGATGGACACCACCTGACTGAGGTGTCCCCCCCAAAATTCGACATATCTATTTAGAGTACATAGTTAGACGTTTTGTATGGAACTCATGCACCTGTACTTGACCATTCTGCTGATGAATGAAGTCCATTGAACCTGAGTCACATCTGGGCAATTACCGATTGTTATGCCAATAAACTTGTCACGATCTTGATATCGACAAAAGGATCAATTCGTCATCCTTGCGTTTGAAAACCGTTGAAGTAATTCTTCGCCACTGATTTTTTTACTGAGCATTTCTTGAACAAAATGTTGTTTGCATGAGCCTCGATAAGCGCTGAGAACTTTCTTCAACGAAATACCAACGAACTGCGTTCTGCCATCGTTTTCATCCGTTAGACTTACGTTGGCGCTCTCCGCTATTGTGAGAATGACCTATAAATGGGAAATTGATATTTTCTGATTCAAAAGACTGGTCTATTCCTTAATACATTCCAGTAAACGAAATATAAGTTTCAGAATTCTTCACATAAATAAAAAAGGTGGGAATGGCTAAATCGCTGTATGCAAAACAGGTGGGAAACGGAAAATATGATATATGAGATGAACACTCAACAAATATATAAACCATACTATAAAAGTTATACATGACGTAATTTGTTCATGTTTTATCGATGATTAATACGATTTGGTCATGTTTACTCTACTGAAGTTCCCTGAACATAGGGATTGCATAATATACGGAGAACGGATCACAAAAATATAACGCTGTATATTCGTACATTTTATACTTAATATACATGAACAAGATATGATCAAAAACCTTCATTAATTAAAAGAAGTATTTCATGGTTTCAATGTTTATTTTTCTTAAAAGGAGCGATCCCTAGCCCCCAGTTTTAATACACATATGCCATCGTTCTGCAAATGCATAAAACACATTGTCCAAGTGATTTTCTTTGATATCTTCTTATCTTCCCCTGGAAATTAGCAGATAAACTAACTGCATGGTTATGATGAGCAAGGGTTCCTATTTTAAAATTGTTAATTTCACGTCCTCTGAATCATGGGTTTTAGTATTTGGGCGCAGGTTTATTGCATATATTTTTTTGGTAGTTTTTTCTTCTGCTCTTCGATATTTAGCAGATAAACTAACTGCATATTATGATAATCAAGGGTGCATCCTTCAATTTTTTTAATTTACCGGCTGAGTCAAGGGACAAGTGAACGACTTGGTTAAGGTACTGATGCTGGAAAAGGGTCTATCATTTCTATTCTACTGAGAGAAATTATTCCTTTTTGTTTTACACCCATGATAATTAACTACCGTAAATATTGAAATTAATGTCAATTTTTTTTTAAAGATTTATATAAGGAATTTTTATATTATATAATTAGAAGGTATTTTCATAGTTCTTAATGGTCAGGTAGACTTGTTAATAAAAAAAAAATAAAAAACAAGAAAAAACAACGTATCTTTATACATTTATAAATGTTCTTCTTAGACAAATAGAGACAAGTGTAAGAGGTAATGAGATGGGCTTATAAATAGTGCTCAATTGTTGGACTATTGTTTTCTTTAGTTTACATAATAATAGTGACAAATGGGGGGGGGGGGGAGGGAGGGGGGAGTTTACAAATAAGTAAATAGATCTAGTTTAGAATTTATTATTTAACAAGGAGTAGTATGTTAATTATTTTGTTGATCCCTTTTCATTTCTCTTGCTTTTGGGCAACATAGCTTCATCTATCAGTTTCTTGTATTTCATACTTCTATTGTTTATACTCAGGTAACCGTCAAGGCCCTTGGGCCTCTTGTTTACAACATTAATTTGACCTGTGAGATCGAAATCAATTCGGTCGTCTCCAGTCAAAGGGGGTAAGGATATAAAATTTCATTACAATTGGTTTAGTACTTTCAGAAATATTACTTGGAAACGACATTTTTAATTTACAGACAGGTATAACTACATGTACAGATAGGCATTGGGACGGATGGAAAAAAAGAACGAAATTAATATAACCGCTTTTTACGGAAAAAATCAGTTAGTTGTAGCGTTTAGACTTAAAGATAATAAAAAAGAACAATAACTCATTAATCAGGATAAAAATTAATTAACAAGAGGCCCAAGGGCCTTTACAGTCACCTGAGTATAATACAACAATTTAGAAGTTAAATACACTGATAGATGAAACTTTTTTGCCCTAAAGCAGGAGAAATAGGAAGATCAAGATCAACAAAATAATTAGTCTAGTATTCAGTATCAACTCATAAATTAAGTTCTAATATATCCCCCAATTAACACTACCACCATGCAGACTAAAAACAAACTATTAATGCTTCTGTACTATTTTTAAACCCATATTAAGACCTCTAACATTGACCTCTCTTGGTATTTGAAGAACATTCAATGCAATAAGTTATTTTTGTCTCATTTTTATTTATCTACTGTTTACAGATCTACCTGGTCATTAAAACTAAGAAAGTACTTTTTGAATTATACAATAAAAAATTCGTGCGTAATTATCTTATTCTATTAACCTTTCAAATACATTATAAACAGTGTTAATGTCGCCCGCGTGGCGCAGTGGTTAGAGCGTCTGCTCTAGAGTCGAGAAGTAAGGAGTTGATCCCTAGGACGCGTGTTCGAATCCCACTGTGGGACGTGGGGACCGGTCCTTCTGATGAGACCGTATAAACTGAGGTCCCGTGTCGCAGTAGGTGCTGGCACGAAAAAGAACCCCCACAGCTCAATGGCCGTAAGTGCCAAGTATAGGACAAAATTTCCAGCTCTCCACTGGAAAGTGGTGGCGTCTCCATATGAGTGAAAAATTCTCGAGAGGGACGTTAAACAACATACAAACAAATAGTGATTAATTATCAAAGGTGAATGGTAAAGGGGAATACCTTCTCTCAGTAGAATACAAATTAATAGAGCCCTGCCCAGGACCTGATTGCTTAACCAAATGGCCCTGATGTTCAAAATTCTGTTAAAATACCCTTACTTATATTATTAAAACTTCTACTCAATTTGCCTCCGATATGCCCAGAAGCAGAGAAGATTTTCACAGGTACAATGCATTTTCACTACAGATTCAACAGAGCCCTACCCTAACACCAGAACCCAAGACTCGGGATCAAGAAGTTTACAAATTTGGAACAGTTACCCTCATCATCATATCTATGGACATCAAAGAATTAACACATTCCAACTATATTATCAAAAGCCCCCCCCCCCCCGTTATGCCAGAACCCCTGACCCTAGGACCACAAGTTTTAAAAATTCTGTTCGAAGCTCCCTTTTTTATCATAGCTATGCAATTTATTTATCTCCTTAACACTAAGATGCAGACAGGATTAATTAATGATTAATTAATAGAATTAATGCTTTTAACTATATAATCAATAGAGCCTACCCCCCTTCCACAAGAACTCCCAACCCTGAGACCATATATTTAAAAATTCTGGAAGAGGCACCCTTGCCTATCATAATCATGCACTTAGTTTGTTTAAATCATCTCCAGTAGCAGAGAAGAAGATTTTCAAAGTATTAATGCATTTTATTAATATAATCAATAGAGCCCCACCCTAACACTAGAACCCTTGACCCAAGGGCCCTGAAATTTACAATTTTGGAAGAGCTAGGCATCTTTGCTCATCATAACTATGTACACAGTTTGTTTAATACCCAGGAGCAGAGAAGAAGATTTTCAAAGAATTAATGCATTTTCACTATATTATCATTAAAGCCCCACCCTAGCACCAGAAACCCTGACCCAGGGGCCATGAAATTCAAAATTTTGGAAGAGGTATCCTTGCTCATCATAACTATGTACTGTGTTAGTTTGTTTAATACACAGGAGCAGAGAAGAGGATTTTCAAAGAATTAATGCATTTTCACTATATAATCAATAGAACCCCACCCTAACACCAGAATCCCTGACCCAGGGGCCATGAAATTCAAAATTTTGGAAGAGGCCCCCTCCTCCTCATAACTATGTACTTAGTTTATGACCTTAATGCCCAGGAGCAGAGGAGAGGATTTTTTAAGAATGAATGCATTTTCACTATATATTCAGCAGAGCCCCACCCTAGCACCACAACCCCTGACCCTGGGGTCATGAATTTCGCAATTTTGGTAGAGGGCTCAATGCTTATTACAATCTTGTCAACAGTTTGACTGCTTGTTTGTCCAGGAGTAAAGAAGAATTTTAAAGATTGCATTACCTTTAGTGGTTTTGGCCCCAACCTTCAGGCCCCAGGGGGCAGGGACCATGAAATTCACAATTTTTGTTCCCCTTTACCCATAGATGCTATATGCCAAAATTGGTTGAAATTGGTTGAGCGGTTTCAGAGAAGATAAAAATGTTCAAATGTTAACGCACGACGACGGACGAAAACTGATAGCAATAGGTCACTTGAGTTTACTCAGGTGAACTAAAAATGCGTTTAACAGTATCGATAATTTATGCAAGCCCTATGTACAGGTATATATTAAGTATAAAGATCATTTTCAGTAAAAATACCCGAAGAGGTAATGAAATGGGACATAGATGCAAGGAAAAGGTTCATTGACATTTCCAAGCAAGGAAGAAAGAACATGTGCAGAGCCAGAGGGATGATAGTGGGCTGCGCAGGCGCAGGAAAAACAACTCTTCTTAGACAGCTTCAAAGGAAACGAACAAGCGATTGTCCAGGTTCAACTGAGACAACCATTGGTCTTGAAATCCACGAAGATCTGTTTGAAATAATAAATGACACCTTAATAGGTGAAATAATTTTATCTTTTTGAAAGATATTTAACTATATTAGATCTTATGTGACAACCATGCCCACATAATGTGAAGAAAATGATCCAATATTATAATACATGTAGGCAAACTCCTTCTTGTCTCAAATTTCTCACTTGAATTAATTCCCATGAAATATATTAATATATCACCTCTATTTCAATCAGACTTTAATTTGAAAAAGGAAGACATGGAAGATGAAAGTCAAGGCAAACAGATCATAAGCATGACGGACTTCGCTGGTCAAGTAGCGTATTACGCTTGTCATCAGATTTACCTCTCTAGAAGAGCGTTTTATCTGGTTGTTATGGACATGTCTAAGGGACTGGATGAAGTAGTTCACACGCAAGACACTGATCGACACAACCCGAAAGGATCTTTATTTCATGGAAGGGCGTACAAAGGTAATTTCTAAGTTCAGATGTAAGACCTTGAGTTCTGCTCATTTTGGTTTAATAAAACACGTAGACAACGCACAGTATCCAAGCACATGTCCATCCAAACAATACAATAAGGAGCAGAGCAAAGACGGACCTCTAAAACATCAGAGGTGGGATCAGGTGCCACGAGCATCCCCGGCCGACCGGTCCCACTCGTACTGTGCTCCTTGTCATAATCAGGAAAAACAAAGAAATTGTTAGACAATTCATTGTAAATAATAGCCTAACAACTTGTCAGAAAAACTTCAGTCAGCATTTGTCTTAATATGTTTATTTGCTGACAAGGTCACTTTAAACGAGACTGCTTCATCAACTTGTTTGTCTCGTTTAAGAAATTGTTCGTACGTAGAGCATGCTTTTGCGTATCGAATCAAGTGAGAGACGTGAACCCCATATGCAGGTGGTAAGGGTATATTGTCACATGATTAAGTGAGAGAAGTTGACGATTGAAAACTTAACAACATCACGTTTATCATAAAGCTTTGTTGTTATGTTACCATCATCGTCTAGTTAAATTTCCAAATTTGAAAAAGAGGTGTAAGACTCTCTAGTATTTTTTAATTCAAGCTCACTAGGATACATATCGAGTCGACTTATGAATGGCAGTAACTATTGTTAATTGATAATACGACGATATATAAGCTACATGTCTAGTTGAAGGCCACAGCAAGTTCTTTCTTCTTCTCAAAATTAAAATTTTGAATAAATTCTGCTTCATTTGAAAACAAAATTAGGTCTACTAATAACGGAGCGCAATTGGTACCCGTTGGAATTCTGACAGATTTTTGGAAGAACTGGTATCCAAAAATTACATACTGTAAAGGGGTATACATTGCGATGTTTTTTTTTTAATTTCACTATGTTCGCGATCAAAGAAAAATTTTCCGCGAAAATTAAGCCATCGTGAATATAGTTGACATATCAATAAATCATTCAATTACCTACAAACTTTAAAATCTTTTTTTCTATATCATAACGGTAAATAATTGAAAATATTTGGAATCCTGAGCTGAGTTAGAATACAATGGCGGGTTAAAGTTTGCTACTGGATAAGTTAATTTTAAATAATTTTCCATAACTTTCTTTTTTTTAAAGAATGATTTATAAAATTGAAAAAATATATAGTAAAGAGAAATTTATTGACCGTGAAATTAAAACCACCGTGAAATGTACCATCATAGGAAATCATGAAGTATTAAAAAACTTGAAATCAAAGACGTTGACAGTAAATATTCTCAATTAAAAAATTCAAGCATCTTTTCAAGGTTAACTTCAAAGTAATCTGTTAATTTCGTCTTTAAGGCAACTTGAATTTGAGTTTTCCAGGACAATGTTTGTATGGGTAAAAATTCGGGACAGTCCCTTACCATTGTTAGAATACATCTAATTTGTACTTTAAATGTGACAAATGAAACTGAGATCCACTGTGGTACAATTTTAAAAAAAGTAGTTTAATTAAGCTATGCTGGAAATAAGTACCACACCAATCACAGAAAATCTAACCAGGTATTCTTTTTCCTCGAAACGAATCAATCCTATCAAAAATTTACTATGGTTAACTATACTTTACTATAGTTAACGATGAAATCAAAGTTTTTACTATAACAAATCGAAGTTTTCACTATGAGGAATAATTAAAGGTATTTTTTCTATGGGTTTCAGATTGTGATATTTTACGTTTTAAAGTTCAAACAGACGTATTTGTTATATTAAATGAAATATTACTTAAATTTAAACATGATTTGCAAAGGATCAGTGCACTTAAGCTATGAGGGTTGGGTCCCGGTGCTTTGCCAGAAATAAATTTCCGAAATTTATAAACCTTTTGAATTAGAATTATTAAATAATATCTTAAGAGCAGGGTTAGATTTATTATATCACATGAAAATATTAAATAATGGCGAGCGACACTGGTTTTGCGACAGAGTCTAGCAGTTTTCTCACATTTCTATTGTTATTCATATGCATACCAGTTTTCAACGACATTGTTTACATCGACCCACAACTTGTCCATTCTTCTCATTTGCACAGAATGTGTAATTTGATTTAAGCTTATACATATCCAAAGGGCAATGTTGGACAATTTGCGACTCAGATGTAATTTTTTTGAAAATTTCTCCAAACTATGGTCGGGTTAACTACTAAATTAACAGGTCACCAAGTGTCAACCAATTTTAACCCGTTTGATATTACAATCACTTTACTCACGTGACATCCACTGTTCGAAAAGCTTTCATTGTGTCTGTCAATCGACTTCAGGGCGGTACACACGGATATGTATTTGAGTATAAAATCTGACTATGTATAGACTTTTGATATGGTGAATCCTAAGATTTTTCGAATCTTGTAAAACTGTATTATGAATCTATTTCTTAGTACAAGTCTAAACTTACCTTTCATTTTTAAACCAATCAAAAATACTCACATTGGGGTCATCGTATTTTTATCTTGACAAAAAAGCACATGGTAAATAATGGTCAACTTTAGCAGTAAAAATATCGAAAAACTCGTTGATTTCTGGGAAGAAAATTAAAAGAAGATCAAAAGATCAAACCGGAGGTTCACTTCGAGTGATCAAGAACTTCAAGCTTAAGAGATCGGAGTTCGAGTCATCGAGTGTCACCTCTATCTCTCGAACCCCCCGATCTCTCGAACTTTTCTTATGGTCCCTTGAACTTGGAGATCGAGAGTCACCTGTATGAAGGTTATCAGAATTTGATGATTTTCCTAGGCAACGGATAGGAATTTTTTAAAATTATACGCTTCTAAATTCAAATTCTAAAAGAAAAAATCTTCTGCTTTTATATTATATACACTCGATGTCTGTATCAGGTCAATCATTTGAATAATTAGACATTGAATAATTCTAAAATCAAGGAAAATGCTGAGTCAGCAAAAAAGGAAAAACATGTATATACACTGAACCAAACTTGTAAGTGTTCACCTAACATGTTTTAAGTTATGAAGAACAAATGCATACAATAAATAATTTCTTTAATTCATTATTAATGATGCTTATTTCAGTTCGATGTTGCGTAAATTTCATGTAAGTATCTCGTTAGACTTCAAAGCAAAGAGTCAAGGAAATGATGAACCCTCAAAATGAAAATTCACATAAAATAATCCCTATGGCGTAAAACCACCACTCGCTCTAATTACTGCAAGACATCCTTTTCTCATGGATTCCATGTACCCCCGAACAGGAGATTGGCCTATTTGCTGCCACACCTACTGCATGGATCTTTCTAAACCGTTGAAATTGTGTTAAGGGGGGGGGGGGCTTTCACATCCCTTTTAAAAGTCCCAAATGTGTTCAATGAGATTCAGATCCGGGGATTTGGCAGGCCATTGCATCACACTAAAGCGTCTTGCACTTAAATGTACCTCTTAAAGGATGATTCAGACTGTTTGAAATGATACAGGTTTGCCATGAGCACCAATTTGTTGCCATTTTCGTACTATTGAAGTTGCTGATTTAAATGTTTTTAAAGTGGTTCAGGACCATGTAACAGGCTTTAAACCTGGTTTTAATCTGGTTGTGACGCAAAACATTGGCCTCAGACGAAGATCCAGATCACTTCCGGTTTGATTAAATTTTGTCCACAGCTTTCAAATTGGGATAAATTGGCGATAAAAATGTCGCACAACCTATAGAAAGATGTGTTTAAATGGATTTTTATTCAGGTTGTTCATTTTTAAAATAATGTGAAGGACAAATAAGCACAAAAATAAAAGTGAGTAAAACGTGTCGTAAGAATGATCCAGATATCACCATTCCAACGGCTCTCCCTCCTTCCTCAATGGTCATTTTGCCCATGTTTTGTGTTTTTTAGTTAAACCATTTGTTAAAAATTGATAATGGTCACAAAAAGAAGCTGATTACACAAAACACGTGCCGCAAAGTACAGATTTATTGTGTTTAAGCTTCGTCACGGAACATTGGTTTTCATCGGTGATAATAGATTTTCTTTCGACAATTGTTGAGAAGACTCATCGCTTATAATAATTTGAAAATATCATACCATTCTATCATGTAGTTTTTAAATAAATACATTTATTAGAATGAACACTTAGAAGTTTTGTTAAGTGTATACCCATATCTATCATACAAATATCTTTAAATCTTATTTCTATGTTTTTGATTGTGAAAGCACCTAAGATGTTTATCTTGAGAATAAAAGCAATAAAAAAGAAATTTCTGTAGTAATTACATTTAATTTGAGCCTTAAAGATAAGAAATTTTTTTGATCATCAAAGCTGAAAAATTGGCTGGTTGCTAGGGAAATTTCTTTACCCGTGTTTCCATGGTAACCATGAACCAAAGCATTTTTTATTTTGCATACATGATTCATAGTGCAAAGAAAACTATGTGTGAAAAATCATCAAATTCTAAGAACCCTCAAATATCACCCGTTGTATGATTTTTACATCTACCTGTACTTAAGAGATGATAAAAAAAAATTTCTCACCTTTTTTCACATCGCTTCAAATTACCTCTTATTTTGACATTCCAAACTTCTTTCTTTGTTTACAATATTTGGCTTCATAGACTAAGGTTACCTGTCTTTAGTTACTTTTACAGCACATGAGATTATTACGCTTCAGAGGATCTTTAAGGCAGATAATCAATTCATTAAGTATATACAAAATTCTTAGATAAATTTGTTAATTTGATATTGAAATTACGGAAGCGTATAAGTGCCACGTAACATTTTTTAAAAGTTGGAAATTCAAACTTAAAGGTTGGCTTTTCCAACTTTAAAGTTGGTAATTCCAACTTTAATCTTGGCTTTTCAAACCTTAAAGTTGGCTTTTCCAACTTTAATGTTTGTAATTCCAACATTAACCTTGGCTTTTGCTACTTTAAAGTTGGCTTTTCCAACTTTAAAGTTGGTTTTTCCACTTTAATCTTGGCATTTCCAACTTTAGAGTTGGTAATTTCAACTTTAAAGTTGGCTTTTCCAACTGTAAAGTTGGTAATTCCAACTTTAATCTTGGATTTTCAAACTTTAATCTTGGCTTTTCAAACTTTAAAGTTGGCTTTTCCAACTTTAAAGTTTGTAATTCCAACATTAACCTTGGCTTTTCCTACTTTAAAGTTGGCTTTTCCAACTTTAAAGTTGACTTATCCAACTTTAATCCTGGCATTTCAAACTTTAGAGTTGGTAATTTCAACTTTAAAGTTGGTTTTCCAACCTTAAAGTTGCTTATTTCAACTTTAATCTTGGCTTTTTCCAACTTTAAAGTTGGCTTTTTCAATTCTAAAGTCGGAAATTTTTCGGAGTATAATTTTTTGCTATAATATATTTTCCTTTAGATGCTGCCCCCAACCCCCCTCCCCCACTTGGAATTACCGACATTAAAGTCGGAAAAGCCAAGATTAAAGTTGGAATTATCGACTTTAAAGTTGGAAAAGCCAAGATTAAAGTTGGAATTATCGACTTTTAAATTGGATATGCCAAGATTAAAGTTGGAAAAGCCAAGATTAAAGTTGGATACCAACTTTAAAGTTGGAAAAGCCAACTTTAAGGTTGGAAATTCCAATTTTAAGTTGGAAAAGCAAACTTTTAAGTTGGAAAAGCAAACTTTTAAGTTGGAAAAGCCAAGATTAAAGTTGGAAAAGTCAACTTTAAATTTGAAATAGTCAACTTTAAAGTTGGAAAAGCCAACTTTAAAGTTAGAAAAGGCAACTTTAAAGTTGGAGAAAATATTACGTGGCACTAATACGCTTCCAAATGAAATACTACATCACAGAAATATACCGTACGTATATTTGGGGGGGGGGGGCAATTTTTTATGCCCCGTGATCGAAGATCTGGAGGAATATTGTTTTTCTGATCGACCACCGGTTATTCTGTAATTCTGTATATATCTGTCATGAACTTTAACCTTCTTAATAACTTTTGAATCACGGAGCTTAGAGGCTTTTATTTTGGCAAAGTTTTAGATATAATTGAGAGCATGATTTTTTTTTCCATCAATATATTATACCAAAGATTAAATTGTGGTATGTTATAACGTTTGACCAGAAATTGTTTTTAAATTTATATATATACCTTAATATGCTGAATGTTATTGTATGAATGTAAACGTTAAAAAGTTACTTTTTTTTTTACTTTTTCAAGATTACTTCCTGTTCTGGTTGCAATCAATAAAAACGTATTGTGAGGACAGAAACAGACCGGAAACTACGAACAGTCCAGTTATCCTGATTGCCTCTCATCACGACTGTGTAAAAGTGCGTATTACGACTGAGTGAAATTGTATTTACATTTTCGTATTAGGCCATAAATAAAAATTGTTATATGTATCAAATTCACCTATCCTATAATTTTTTTCAGTATTTCAATTTTTTACTCTTTTCTTTCAGTCAAAATTTTCAATATAATTTTTAGAATTAAGCTTTATCATTCCTTTAGGATTGAAGTTTTTACATAGAGCAAGCATTCTGAGTGTTTTGCCTTAGCAATACTCGACAATTCCGGCAAGTGTAATCTGGCTCCCAGTAAAAATTGAAAAGGCCATAATTCCGTCAAAAATTATTGAAGCGGAACAAAATGCTAACTTGATCTATAACCCATCAAGGTAAAGTCAAACACCCAAAATCAGTTCAACATTTGCAAGCGTTTATTAAAAAATTGTGCAAAACCTTAAATATTAAAAAGGTCGTAATTCTGTCAAAAAGTCATTTAAGAGGAATGAAATGCAACATGATCTGAAACTCATCAGGATATACTCACATACCAAAAATCAGCTCAATATCTGAAAGCCTTTAGAAAAGGTGTGGAAAACCAAGTGGGACAGACTAACAGATGGACAGGCAGACAGACGGCCAGACGAGGAAGAAACATATAGTCCCCTTCGATTTCACGGGTAGGGGACTAACCTATTGAAGCTGTCTAGTTGTGTGGTGTTTATTGAAAACTTCCACAATTTCCCAATTCTATGATTTATATGACAATTATCATAATGTCAGATGTTTATTGAACAAAACGCCCAAGGGCCCTAACGGTCACCTGGGTATAATACAACAATTTAGAGGATCCATAGAGTATAAAATGAACTGAAAGATGAAGCTTTGTTGCCCATAAGCAAGAAAAATAGGGTGATCAGGATCAACAAAATAATAAGTCTAGTATTCATTAACAGTTCATAAATTAGGTTTTCATTTGTTCCCCATTTATCAATATCACCATACAGTATATTAACAAACTATCAGTGCTTCTGTACTATTTTAATTCCTTGTTGAAATCTCTTGCAATTTGGCCTGTCTTCGTCTTTGATCAACATTTAATAAGACAAGTTATTTTTGTCTCATTTTTATTCATCTATTACTTACAAGTCTACCTGACCATTAATGGTCCAGATGTTCAAAAAAACCTTCCTTATCAAAATATTTACTCTTTTTGCCTCTGATATGTCCAGGTGCAGAGAAGATTTTTAAAGAAACAAGAGGCCCAAAGGCCTTGAATCGCTCTTCTGATAAACTGTACAACCTATCACTTCTATTTGAAGCCTCTAAGTATCCTGTATATTTAGATAAAGCCTTGAAATTCCAAAAGTAGGTCATCATAACCTACATTTTAGATGAAAGACTGTGAGAACTTTGATTCTAAGCCAATTAGTAACTGAGAGTAGGTCATGGTGATCTACTTATCACTTGTCATTCTCTGACGACCCAAGATGCATTAAATGAGTTTGAAGTTTCTAAGCCAATTAATACCTAAAATATTTTTTAAAATTATAACTATAAATTTCAGAAGTAGGTCACAGTGACCTACTTTTCAGATGACATACTGTGAGGACCCAAGATGCATCAACTGACAAAGTGTGATGATTCTAAGCCAACAAGTACCTGATATATTTAAATAAAGCCATAAAATTTTTTTAAAAATAGGTCACATTGACCTCCTTTTCAGTCGACTAACTCTGCGGACCCAAGATGCATCAACTGACAAAGTTTTATGGTTCAAAGCTAATTAGTACCTGAAACTTTAATTAAAGCGATAAATTTTCAAAAGTAGGTCATGGTGACTTACTCTTCAGTCGACCTACTCCAAGGACCCAAGATGCATCAACTGACAAAGTTTAATGATTATAAGCCAATTAGTACCCGAAATATATAATTATAGTCATATAAATTGAAAAGTAGGTTACGGTGACCTCCTTTTCAGTCGATATACTCCGATTACACAAGATGTATCAACTAACAAATTTTTATGATTTTAAGCCAAATAGTACCCGAAAATATTAAATACAGCCATAAAATTAAAAGTAGGTCAAGCTGACCTACTTTTCAGTTGTCATACTCCAAGGACCAAAGATGCGTCAACTGACTAAGTTTGATAATTCTAAGCTAATTATTTGCCGAAAAATTTCATTAAAGCCATAAATTATCAAAAAATAGATCACGGTGACCTACTTTTCAGTCGACCTACTCCGAAGACCCAAGACGCATTAAATGACAAAGTTTGATAATTCTAAGCCAATTAGAATCTGAAATATTTAATTATAGTCATATAAATTGCAGAAGTAGGTCACGGTGACCTACTTTTGAGTTGACGTTTTTTGAGGACCCAAGATGCATCAACTTACAAAGTTTTATGATCATAGGCTTTTAAATGTCCAAATTATGCCTCTAAAACACTTTGAAATCGAATGCCTGCAAAGTACAAAAAGTAGGTCACTGTGACCTACTTTCTAATAAATATGTTTTATGGCCCCAAGATACATCATCTTACAAGCTTTAATGATTCTAAACCTCTCGGTATTCGAATTAATGACCTTAATTGTTTTGAAAAAGATTAGTCATAAAATTCAAAAAAGTAGGTCAAGGTGACCTACTTTTTAGTCGACGCACTCCGAGAACCCAAGATACATCAACTGACAAAGTTTGATGATCATAGGCCTTAAATTGTTCAAAATGTGCATGTAAATCATTTAGAGAAAGAATGGCCGCAAAATTTAAAAAGTAGATCACCGTGACCTACTTTTGAGTCAACATGATATGGGGTCCTCAGATGCATCAACTGACAAGAAATATCAACTTTTTAATAAAATGTAATTTTGGTCAACTTTTAAGTGACGAGACCACGCCCTTTGCCCCAGTGTAAATCCCCGTGCAAATTTTAATGTACAACATATCCTCATTCTTTTACGTATATTTGGAGATAATCTGCCCAGTGGTGCTTGAGAAGAATATTTTTAGCAACCAGTACTTTTGTTTCTATTTTCCTAATTATCTCCCCTTGTTTAAGTGTCACAACCCTAGTTTTAGTACAAACGGGAGCCAATGGGCCAAGGATACCCTGTGACAAATTTGACAATAATTGGCCAAGGGTTTTTTTTAGTTATGGCCCATATTCTAAAAAGTTTACGCACACAGCACAAATGGCCATAGCATTACCTCTTCGAGCCTTTGGCTCAGAAGAGCAAATATTGCATTTTTACTACAGATTCACTATATTTTCAATGTAGCCCCTCCCCCCCCCCCCACCCACCCACCGAGAAACACCAGAGCCTCTCACTCTTTGCTCATCATAAGTATCACTTTGTGTATCTGTTTAACACCAAGGAGCAGACAGGATTATTTAATAGAATTTATGCATTTTCGCTATATTATCAAGAGCCCCACCCTTACACCAGCACATCTGACTCAGGGGTCATGGAATTGACTACTCTGGAAGAAGCACTCTTGCTCATCATAACTATATACTTAGCTTCTTTGCTTTAAAACCAGAAGCAGAAAAGAATATTTTCAAAGAAATTTTGCTTTTTCACTATACCGTGAATCCTGTCTAATCTGACATGCACTGGGAGACGAATTTTGTGTCGAAAGAGACAGGGTGTCGGATTGCACAGTGTAAAAAATAACATGGAAAGTAGTAAACTGCGAAAGAAAATTTAACGTCGGAATTCACAGTGTGACGGATTGCACAGGTGTCGGATAAGACAGTTTTCACTATATTTAATTTGTTTTTAAATAATACCCAGGAGTAGAGAAGAAAATTTTCAAAGAAATAATGCACTTTCACTATATGATCTATATAGCCCAGCCCTAGCACCAGAGCCCCTGACCCTGGAGCTATGAATTTCACAATTTTGGTAGAGGGCCCAATGCTTATTACAATCATGCCAACAGTTTGACTGCTTGATGTCCAGGAGTAAAGAAGATTTTTAAAAATTGCATTAATTTTGGTGGTTTAAGCCCCACCCCTCAGGCCCAAGGGGGACAGGGACCATGAAGTTCACAAATTTTGTTTCCCTTCACACATAGATGCCATATGCTAAAATTGGCTGAAATTGGTTCAGCGGTTTCAGAGAAGAAGCCGAAAATGTTCAAATGTTAACACACGACGGACGAAAACGGATAGCAATAGGTTACCTGAGTGACTTAAGTGACCCAAAAACTACCTACAGGTGTACCTACTTTGAAAAATGTGGGTCGAAGTAATGCAAGCACCCTCCCCCCCCCCCACCCCCAAAAGAGAAACAAAACAAAAAACAATTCAAAAAACAAACAAACAATAAAAAACATAGGACAACCTCATGCAAATACCAATAGTGTTTACTTACTTGTCGATATTTTTAGAATGTAATGACGAGTGACTCTTTTAATATACTTATCAGAAAATTGAATATTTATGTATAAATGTTTCATATTCCATGTACATTGCACCAAGCAAAGGATAAATCTCGTATTATTTATATATGAAATATAGAGATAGCAAATAGTAATCAAACTTCAAAGTCCATTGAAACATTACAAATTGGGAGGAAAGCAAATACGGACCTCTAAATACATCTAGGTTGGATCAGTTGCCAAGAAAAATTAAGCATCCCCTAATGACCGGTCACACCCACCTTGTCCCCTTCTCATGATCTAGCAAACGGAAATATATATATATATATATATATATATATATATATATATATATATATATATATATATATATATATATATATATATATATATATGACTGTCGTCATGAGAAAAGGGCCCTTAAAGTCAAAATTTCACAAATTGACTTTTTGATCAATTTTGATAGCCTGACTCTTTCTGAATGCAAATATACATAATTTTTAAAAATATCTCACTTTTTCAGTATTTTATGAGCATTTTAGTAAGGCGCTTCAAAACAACGTTGACGTTACTATCTGAAACGTAATGACGTCAAATTCAGTTTCCAAACATTCTTAATTTTTTTTTTAGAAATAATCCTACTCGTTTTGACACAT